TCCTATCCATCCTTCCTTCTCTCCATTCCTAATCAGCCTCACTAACTATAATAACTTCAGAGCCAACCACAGGTTTCTGGTAAAGTTCAAGTTTTATAACAAACATTGACTATAACTCTTTTTCACAAGGACATAACTCAGCACTTTCTGATTCTGTAAACAGAAACCTGATTAGATTCCCTAACATCACGTATTGGGGCACTCGACCAAGCCTGAATACCTATGAAGAAAAATGTTCAGCTTCCTGTCTAGTTACGGTTATAATTCTCAAAATAGAACTATGCTATCCCAAAATATGCCTCATTGGCATAGGATTATTCTGAGTTGAAAGCAATTGAGAAATGGCAGACATAGGAAAAGATCAACCATCTAAAGAATAGCAGAGTATAAATTTCCCTTCATGAAGGTGTCCCACCCTCTCAGTCCTGAAAGGAAAACGTTTATCACCAGTGAAAAAGAAAGCACCAAGATGAATCCATACAAACAAAATCTTACAAAAATAACCATTATCTTCCATTAATTTACAGCATGTATTTATCTTCCCATAATTTACAGCCTGTAAAATCCCCAACCCCTTTCCTCTGTCTACTGAGGTCTCCACAACTTCTCATGCTTTGTTAAAAGGGCATATAACTCTTTCAGGTCTAATTTCTTCTTCAGGTCTTCACTCCAGGTCTTCACTTCTTTTCAATGAATGACTCCTTGTACATGCAAAAATTCACATCAAGTAAAATTTGTGTGCTTTTTCTCTTATTAACATTTCTTTTGTCAGTTTAATTCACAGATCCCAGTCACAGAAGCTAAGAAAATAGAGGAAGTAATTTTTCTTCCCCTACATCTACCGCAGGACGTCTTTTGAGATAGACTCAGAAAATGTTGAATACATGGGAGCCAGACTGAAACTAATTTTTAGCTTGCAACGAAATGAAGGGGAGATTTCATATTTTCTTGTCCTTTTCACTAATCGTGACTGATGGCAACTTCTACTCTCCACAATCAATGACTATGTAACCTTTTATCTTCCTTTGGATCATAAAAATTAACCTATGACCCCATCTTGCTTACTCCCTATAGACAACTTACATTTTTTATTTTTCCCCCTTTTCTATCTTGGCAATAAATAATAAAACAATGCTCCATTAGACCTGTTCAATAGTTGTAATTATCTCAATCTTAAAATTGATTTAGCTAATAAATGTAGATGCGTAAAAGTATCCTTTTCTGTTTTATAAAAACTAAAACTTAAAAATCTAAAATTCTTATATTTTGAGAATGAATGTCTGCATTCTATAAGCAAATTAAAAATACATGCATTCTAAAAGCTGACTTCTTAAACTTTTTAAGTAAAAAAAAACCAACATAATCAAATATGTTTTGAAACACCCCTAAAAAATAAGGAAATAGCCCTTGTAAAGAAGAGAGAAAGACATTTCCAGTGAAATATAATTATAACTTAAAAGTGAAGTATTACTACCAGGAGCCTTGAAAAAGCAATCTAAAAATACTATAAAGCTATTATTTACAAGTTTGAATCCTAATTACAAACATAGGAATTATATCTTATTGTAATTTGTTGACAGTATCAAGCTGGAGATTAAACAAAGTCAATGTCTATAAATAAGAGAAAAGAAAGATAGGAATCAACTTTCATGTAATTCAATATGGTTGCTAATCCTATTTAAATTCCAAACATGCATATCTATGAGATTTGACCAATTAATTTACTAAAGGTGTCTATTTCAATATTTAAAAGTGAATGCCTTGAAAGTTATTTATTTATATTTACTTTATTAAATATTAAATGTTTTAGACACTCAAAATAGTAGAGAGAAGAATATGACTTGACAAATCTTAATATTATGCTTCATTTTTTAAGAATAAACTTATGGCTATTGTTCTAAATATATAGTTCTCTCAATACCGTTTCTCTTTCTCTCTTATCTCTCCAGAGAAAGCAAGATGTTGATGATGTATAATTTTTAATGTGCTTAATTTTTAAATTTTGAACTAATTTTAGGCTTACAGAAAAGTTTCATAAATTAGTACAGGCAGTTGCCTTCTATTTTTAACAAAAATGTCTCACATAATTGATTATATAATTATCAAAAAATTCTTAAAATTTAAAAGTATTACTATGTTATTTCAAAAACAATATGTTGTATTCTTTACATACGTTTCAATACCACATCAACCATAATATTATTTGACAACACTTTTATTGTGTTATACTATGATTTCTAATCAAATTGTGTTTAAGATAACTATGTAAATAGATGTACACTAGTGCTTTTTTAAAAGTACTGCACAATATACCATTATTCTCTCTAAACTGTGAATTGCTTGCTGGGTGAAAGAATTTGCACCATTTCAAAATTTTTAAATATTACACAGAGCTTTTCAGAGTACTTGCATAAAACTGTCATTTTTATCAATAGTACATGAAAGTCTGGTTTCTCTTCATCACAAAACGTTTAAAAACTTTTGCCGAATTATAGGTGTAAAATCTCATTGTTTCATTATAAATTTTCCTTATGGTTGGAGAGATTGACTATACTTTAGTGTAATTATGTTTTCTTTTCTGTCTCCTAGCATAACTTGTACATATTTATTTTCATCTCTGTATTGGTACATTATAAACTTCAGTTGTAATCGTTTGATGCTTTTAAAGATCAGAACTATACACCGCTAGTGTTTTGTTTTGTCTTTTAAATTTCTTCATAGATTCTGTTGCAAACAGTTTTCAGTTACACTGAGATGAAATATACTAAACTTATACTTCCTGATTTGTTTTTGTATGTAATTTGTGAAATTTGTTCTTACCCTGAATTTACAAAAATATATACTCTTTGATATTAAAAAGCTGATCATATCTACATTATTAAAATTCTTCAAATTTATTTTTGAATGGAGTTTCAGTTGGAGATAACATTTTGTTGCATTTTTGCCATATAAATTGTTCTGGCATAATTCATTAAATGCTGTTCATTATTTTTCAGTTTACTTGTAATGCCAAATTTGCAATGTATAAGCGATTTACATACAGTTATATATATATGCATAAATCTGCTTTTGAGCCCAATGTTCTTTATCATTTAACTTTCTTATATAAAAAGTAGCTGATTTTACAATTATTAATGCCAAACAAGTCCTTAAATCAACCAAAAATTTATTTAATTAGGCATAAAGTGACAACCACATTTGTCTACAACCACAGTAAATAAGTACACAAATATTGTCAGGTTTTTTGCTGTGGTTCCCGATGATCAGTAGCAGGCTCATTTGAAGGCAGAGTCAACCCTGATGGGGACTTGAGATCAGTCAAAATTGCTTTAGAGAAGAACACAAATACTGTCAGCTTTCTTGCTGTGGTTCCGGATGTTCAGTAGCAGGCGTATATAAAGGCAGAGTCAATCGTGATGGGGACTCAAGATCAGTCACACTATTTTGGAGGAAAACACAAATACTGTCAGCTTTCATGCTGTGGTGCCAGATGTTCAGTGGCAGATCACTTGAAGACCGAGTCAACCCTTACTGGGACTCAAGATCAGTTAAAATTATGTTGGAGGAGAACACAAATACTGTTAGCTTTCTTGCTGTGGTGCCAGATGTTCAGTGGCAGGCTCACTTGAAAGCAGAGTCAACTCTGATGGGGACTCAAGATCAGTCACAACTACTTTAGAGGAGAACACAAATACTGTGAGCTTTCTTGCTGTGGTGCCGGATGTTCAGTGGCAGCCACACTTGAAGGCTGAGTCAACCCTGATGGGGACTTGAGATCAGCCACAACTACTTTAGAGGAGAACATAAATACTGTAATCTTCCTTCCTGTGGTGTCAGATGTTCAGCAGCAGGCTCGGTTGAAGGCAGAGTCAACCCTAATGGGATCTCAAGATCAGTCACAACTACTTTGGAGGAGAACACAGTGTCAGCTTTCTTGCTGTGGTGCTGCTTGTTCACTGGCAGGCTCACTTGAAGTCTGAGTCAACCCTCATGGGACTCAAGATCAGTCACAACTACTTTGGAGAAGAACACTATTGCTGTAGTGCCAAAGTTCAGTGGCAGGCTTACTTGAATGCTGAGTCAACCCTGAAGGGGACTCAAGATCAGTCACAACTATTTCGGAGAACACACATACTGTCAGCTTTATTGCTGTGGTACTGGATATTCAGTGGCAGGCTCAATTTAAGTGGAGTCAATCCTGATGGTGACTCAAGATCAGTCACAACTACTTTAGAGGAGAACACAAATACTGTCAGCTTTCTTGCTGTGGTCCCAGATGTTCTGTAGCAGTCTCAGTTGAAAGTGGAGTCAACCCTGATGGGAACTCAATATTAGTCCCAACCTCTTTGGAGGAGAACACAAATAGTGTAAGCTTTCTTGCTGTGGTGCCGGATGTTCAGTGGCAGGATCACTTCAAGGCAGAGTCAACCCTGACAGGGACTCAAGATTAGTTAAAATTACATTGGAGGATAACACAAATTGTCAGCTTTCTTCCTGTTGTGTCGATGTTCAGTGGCAGGCTTACTTGAAGTTGGAATCAACCCTGATGGGGACTCAAGATCAGTCTAAATTACTTTGGAAGAGAATCAAATACTGTGAGTTTTTTTTTACTGTGTTGCCAAATGTTCAGGGGCAGGCTCACTTGAGGATGGAGTCAGCCTGATAGGGACTTGATATTAGTCACAACTACTTTGGAGGAGAACACCAATATTGTCAGCTTTCTTGCTGTGGTGCTGGATGTTCCCTGGCAGGCTCAGCTAAGGGTGGAGTCAACCCTGATGTGGACTTGAGAACAGTCAAAAATATGTTATAGAAGGACACAAATATTGGCAGCTTTCTTGTTGCGGTTCCGAATGTTCAGTGGCAGGCTCAGCAGAAGCCAGAGTCAAACCTGATGGGGACTCAAGATCAGTCACAACCACTTTGGAGGAGAACATATATAGCGTCAGCTTTCTTGCTGTGGTGCCAGATGTTCAGTGGCAGGCTCAGTTGAAGGTGGAATCAATCCTGATGGGGACTCAAGATCAGTCACAACTACTTTAGAGGAGAACACAAATACTCTCAGCTTTCTTGCTGTGGTGCTGGATGTTCAGTGGCAGCCTCACTTGAAGGCTGAGTCACCCCTGATGGGGACTCGAGATCAGTCACAACTACTTTAGAGGTGAACATAAATACTGTCAGCTCTTGCTGTGGTCCCAGATGTTGAGTCACAGGCTCATTGAAGACTGAGTCAACCCTGATAGGTACTAGAGATCAGTCTGAATTACTTTGGAGGAGAACACAAATACTGTCAGCTTTTTTGCTGTGATGCTAGATGTTCAGTAGCAGGCTCAGTTGAAGGCAGAATCAACCCTGATAGGAACTTGAGATCAGTCACAAGTATGTTGGAGAAGAACACAAATATTGTCAACTTTCTTGTTGTGGTGCTGGATGTTCAGTAACAGGCTCAGTAGAAGCCAGAGTGAACCATGATGGGTACTTGAGATCAGTCACAAGTACTTCGGAGGAGAACACAAATACTGTCAGCTTCCTTGGCATGATGCCAGATGTCCAGCAGCAGGTTCACTTGAACATGGAGTCAACCACAACTGGGACTTGAGATCAGTCACAACTACTTCAGAGGACAACACAAATACTGTCAGCTTCCTTGCCATGGTGCCAGATGTTCAGCAGCAGATTCAGTTGAAGGTGGAGTCAACTCTGACTGAGACTTGAGATCAATCACAACTACTTTGGAGGAGAACACAAATACTGTCAGCTTTCTTGCTGTGGTGACGGATGTTCAGTGGCAGGCTCACTTGAAGGCTGATTCAACACTGAAGGGGACTCAAGATCAGTCACAACTATTTCAGAGGAGAACACAAATATTGTCAGCTTTCTTGCTGTGGTGCTGGATGTTCAGTGGCAGGCTAACTTGAAGTCTGAGTCAACCCTGAAGGGGAATCAAGATCAGTCACAACTATTTCAAAGGAGAACACAGATAGTGTCAGCTTTCTTGCTGTGGTGCTGGATGTTCACTGGCAGGCTCACTTGAAGGCTGAGTCAACCCTCATGTGACTCAAGATCAGTCACAACTGCTTTGGAGGAGAACACAAATAATGTCAGCTTTATTGCTGGGGTGCCAAATGTTCAGTGGCAGGCTCACTTTAAGATGGAGTCAGCCTGATGGGGACTTGATATTAGTTCCAACTACATTGGAGGAGAACACAAATATTGTCATATTTCTTTCTGTGGTGCCGGACGTTCACTGGCAGGCTCACTTGAAGGCTGAGTAAACCCTGACTGGGACTCGAGATCAGTCACAACTACTTTGCAGGGGAACACAAATATTGTTGGCTTTCTTGCTGTGGTGCCAGATGTTCAGGGGCAGGATCACTTGAAGGCAGAGTCAACCCTGAAGGGGACTCAAGATCAGTCACAACTACTTTAGAGGAGAACACAAATAGCGTCAGCTTTCTTGCTGTGGTGTTGGATGTTCTGTGGCAGGCTCATTTGAAAGCTGAGTCAACTTTTATGGGGACTGGAGATCAGTCACAACTACTTTAGAGGAGAACATAATATTGTCAGCTTTCTTGCTGTGGTCCCAGATATTCAGTAGCAGGCTCAGTTGAAGGTGGAGTCAACCTTGACAGGGACTGGAGATCAGTCAAAATTATGTTGGAGGAGAACACAAACCTTTCAGCTTTCTTGCTCTGGTGCCAGATGTTCAGTGGTAGGCTCACTTGAAGGTGGAGTCAACCCTGATTGGTACTCAGTATTAGTCCCAACCTCTTTGGAGGAGAACACAAATACTGTCAGCTTTCTTGCTGCGGTGCCAGATGTTCAGTGGCAGGATCATTTCGAGGCAGAGTCAACTCTGACGGGGACTCAAGATCAGTCAAAATTACATTGGAGGATAACACAAATTGTCAGCTTTCTTCATGTGGCACCGATGTTCAGTGGCAGGCTCACTTGAAGGTGGAGTCAACTCTGATGGGGACTCGAGATCAGTCTACATTACTTTGGAAGAGAATCAAATACAGTCAAGTTTTTTGCTGTCGTGCTCGATGTTCAGTAGCAGGCTCATTCGAAGGCAGAATCAATTCTGAGGGAACTAGAGATCAATCTGAATTATTTTTGTTCAGTTGCAGGGTCATTAGAAGATGGAATCAACCCTGCAGGATCTCACTTCTCCCTTCAGTGTATAGGGGTAGGGAGGAAAAATCCAGGTCTTGGTGGAAGGCAAGGAGGAAAAGCCCTGGGTGGATAGGCATTCCTCATTGCAAATGGAGCATATGGTGGAACTGGGAAATCTCTTGGTGGAAAATCATGTGAAGAAACTCCCAACCTGTTTCCTGGAGGAGGTGGGGGGCAAGGAGGTCCTCTTCTCATATTGGTAACAAATAGGTAATGCTCTCTGCCAAATCCTGTATTTGGAACATCAAGTGCAGCACGATCTTTGTGTAAAAATTTGAATTTAAACTCCATTTCAGTTAATTTTTGTCTCTTGTGAGCATTTTCTTTCCTGAAATCATTGAGGATTCCTTCAGCAGTCTGAACTGCCAACCAATTTTCATGTTCTTTTCTCTTATAGGAAACCATCTGCCCTTGATAAGAAAGAATCATTCTTTCCAACTTTTCTTCAAGATCTTTGACTTGCTTTCTATAGTTCTCTAGATGGTCAGTGGTATAGTTGATCTTTCTGTCTACTTTAGAAAGCTTCTCTTCATTCTCTAACTTTTTGTAAAGTCTCATTGAAGTTTCTTGATATAATTCGGTCATTACTTTAAGTTGCTGTTGAAGCTTCTGATTCTCGCTTTCAAAATGTGTGTTTTCTGACTGTAAAGATGCTTGTTCAGACTGTAGATGTTTAATATGGTCTCTAAGATCTTTCTGTGTTTCATTAATTTTGGACAACTGAATATAAATTTGGTTTCTTTCTCCTTGTAAAGTTTTTAAAGTATATAACTTAGCATGAATCAGTTTCTTCAAAGCTCCTTTTGGAGTATCATCTAAGTAGGCACCATTTTCCAATTCATTGTTCATTTCCAATGTCAAGTTATGATAATCCATTCTGTCTTCTCCAAGCATAGTAGCCCAATCTTTAATCTTCAGCAAGTGTTCAGTCAGAGTCTTGATGTGATCGTCTTTATCAATTAGTACTTGTTCTGTGTGCACTTTGGAGTCTTCAAATGATATTTTCTGTTTACTAAGTTCACTCACTTGTTCTTTCCGTACTGCAGCTTCTTGCAAAAGGTGTTTATGGCTTTCCTGAAGTTGAGAATTTTCATTCAAAGCATCTTTTATTTCTGTCTTCAGTTGTTCTCCATTCATTTGCAATATCCTGAAGGTCATTTTGGCTTCAGCCTTTTGCGATTTGAGGGATTTTGAGTGACCTTCTAATGACTGTATCATTTTTGAACTATCCGCCATCAACTTCTCTTGTCTAGTATGTTTAGATGTCTCTTCCTTTAACTCTTTTTCTAGATAGAATATTTCATCCTTAATTTCAGAAATGGACCTGTTAAGCTTTTCACAGGCTGTCTGCAAACTTTGTGCTTCTGCTGTCTCCTTCTCAAAGCTGTTATCCTGTAAAGATGACTCTACTTTATAGTCTCCACACTCTTTCTGAGCACGCCTAGATTTTTCAAGCAGTTTGCACTTTTTTTCAATTAGTTCACAAAGCACTACGGCAAGCTTTTTCTCTCTTTCCACATAAAGCCAACTCCTAACTGATCTGATAGTCCTCCACAAAAACAGGGGAATAGCAGAAAATCCAATAACACCTGCCCATATTACTAATTCCCATGGAAAACCATTAGAATTTGATACCATACTTTCCATCAGTGCGGCCACAATCCTGGGTAGCTCCTAAAAGACCATCCCCAGGTACAGCTGAGGGGGTAGCTCTGGGCTCCTCCACAGCACCAAGGCTGTTCTGGTGGTCACCGCAGAAACCCCAGCCTGTTGTGGTCACAGAACACAGAACCTTCAGTTTGGAACCGGGGCGGACCACTGCGGAGCTGGCTGCAGGGGGAGCTGGGGGACCCAGGAGGTGGGGGACACTGGAGAACAGGTAGACTTCAATCTAAAACCTGAATCCATACGCATCAACCAGAGAGGACCACTGTGGAGTTAGCTGTGGGGGGAGCTGGGGGATGTGAGCACCCACAGGCCTCACAGGCCCACGCTGCCCACCCCAACCCCTTTGTTACACTTTACATCCTGAGGCAGTGCAGGTCCGGGCCCGACCCCCATTTAACTGTTTTATATTGGTAATATCATATCATGTTAATTAATTTAGTTTGTTAATAAAAACCTTTGTCAAGGAGAGACTGCAAATTTGTATTTCTTCAAAATTGCCTTGGCCATTATAGACATTTTGTTCTATGTTAATTCTACTATCAACATACAAAGTTTCATTAAAAAATTATTTTGGCTGTTTTTTGTTTGTTTTTAGAAACAGAGTCTCTGTCACCCAGGCTAGAGTGCAGTGGTGCAATCGTAGCTCACTACAGCCTCAAAACCCTGGACTCAAGAGATCCTCCCACCTCAGCCTTCCAAGTGGCTAGGACTATAGGTGTATGCCACCACACTGAGATATTTTGGCATTCTGAATTGCATTATATTTAAAGATATTTTGGGACAAATTTCCATAGCTATGGAAATTGACTTTTTGCATCATGAAAGTAACATTTTCCCTCTTTAAGATTATCTTTTATGTCCTTCACAAACATTTTGTAATTTTCTACGTTAATGTTTTGTTGTTTTGTGCATACTTTGTTTTTATTACTAGTTTAAGAATAGCTTTTTAAAAATCATATTCTCTCTCTTTTTTTTTTTTTTTTTTTTTTTTTT